CTTCTTTTGGGCTTAAGGAACAGTCTAATGGCCGATTTCAATGCAACAACAGCCAAGCTAGTCTACGGATGCACGTTGCATTTGCCCGGACATCTGGCAGCACCAGCGCGATCCATTTTCTCTTTCGACTACGGAAGGTTCACTGGTTGGTCAGTTCGCCAAAGGCGTTAGCTACGCCCGGCCGCCCGCTTCACGGCTGCATAAGACACCGGTGTAGGTGCCCGGCAAACTGTCTACTTGCTCGAAAGTACTGCTTCTCGTAGACAGTATTCGACAGCCTGCTGTCGCCGCACATCAGTCGTACATCAACCACAAGAATAAAGCCTTTACGATCGACCGCAGTGATCGATAAGAGGTTGTCACCATCGACCGCCTAAAACCAGACTTATGGCGAAAACCACCTCACATCCATGGTCTAGTAATGCTTCGTGCAACACTATAAATAACCGCACAAATTTTGAACAGGCTAACGTCGTCGATTGAGACTACGATTCCGGTCTACACGCATCAGCCGTCCAGACATCTTCCGAACATAGCCTGTCGCCTCCCACAACCAACCGCCGTGATCGTGAGGTTCGTAAGCCAGTTCGCTTTTTCGACTATGTCCAGGGCAAATACGTTTAAATTTGTAAATATTGTGTATATTTGCCCCGTTTTGTGTCTATAAGCGTTTTGAAAACAAGAACTCAAAACCCGAAAAGCCTTGAAAAATTCTAAACGCCAAAATATCCGAATCTTCTTACACACGAGCCATCTGTTCGTTCTTTTGTCGTTTACTGCGTGCCATTTTTCTGTTCCTATCTGCTCCAACCCTCCCCTTCACTCGACGGACGCTAACGATCAACGCCTTCGAGGTTCGCAGCAGTCAATGAGGATTCCGAAACGAAAGCTGGACTTTTTTCATTAGACGAGGGTTGTTCTGGCGCGGGACGAAGTTCGGTGGGTGGATAAGCAACTTCTATACCCGCCGTTTGACAGTAACTGAGCTTTACGTCCTATTGGCCTTTTTTCTGGACTAGCCAGTCTTCTTGAAGTCCGACAAGCCCGATCCGCCGGCTGGCTGTGATGCACCCCGTCCTGTAATCAATTAAATGGCATACGTAATTTTTAACTTCTTATTTAAATTTCGAGAATGACAAGAGCATTTGCTGAGCAATTAACTGCTTTCAGTGCTTCATCTTCAGACCATTACAATCATATATAGGGGCTAAAACAAAGTACAATTGATCCAGTCTGTTATGGTTACAACGGTAAAAGTGAACTGCGCGTTGTTGGGTTAATGGCATGTTACGGAGTTTGACTTGAGGCAGTTGACCTCTGCGTCTTGCCTTTTCACTGACCAGCGAATACATAAAACAACAAATAAATACATTTTATAGACTAATGTATGTACTCCTCTTGGTTGCGCCACGCACTGACAATCCTGGTATCAACTTTCCTAGTCAAACGCATGTGTCTTGGAGCTATTCCACGCACGGCACGGTAACCGACAAAATTCGAGATTGTACGACTTCTGAACTTAACCGCAACACGATTTCTACTCTCGAGTTGGACGGGCTCCTAGACCGAACGCAATTTCACACCCAGCTACCCAACGCGAGAGAACAAGACAAAGACAGGCCTTTCGCGTTGGCACTTTTACTGACAAGGTTCAGGGCGATTACAACGCAGTCCAGCCTTTCTTTTATACCTCGATTGCAACATATATGCATTGTCACATAAAATGCTTTGCATAAGCAGACCCTGGGAGCAGGGCATAAGCAACTGAATTGGCGTCATGTCAAGTCGTAAATGTTGGTAGCTGCGGAGACGACTAGAAAAATGAATGTTTCTTAGGTAAAAAAGGCTGAATGTTTCATGATTGTGGGGGTTGGCCAGAAACAGGAATGTTTTCTGAGGTACAAAGGCTAATCGACATGTGAATGTCTCACGAGTTAGAACTGATTGAAAACATGTGCACTTGACTGAATCGAGTACATGTGCACTTGCCTGAATCGAGTTTTGATCATTATGGGAACTTTGGGTCCCCATAACATCACCCTTCAAGTTTGAGCATACCGTTTTAGGTGCGGATCGATCTGCAGTATTTTGGTCCTTCGACGGATGCGCTCCGACCTGCGGTGTGGACCAGTTGGGTTTATCGTCGGCTGCACGACTTCCATAGGCCCCGGTTGTTGCACAGCGATTCCGAAAATATCCAATAGTATGTGCAGCCGCATTTGTGCTGCCGACTTGGATTGTTCGATAAGCGTTCCGCGTCGCGGTCGAAGCTGCTTTTGGTGGCGAACCCATGTGTCTTCTCTCAGCGAAATCATGTAGCATACTACCACGATAGCCCGTTACTATAGCTTCGATCCAGTGAGAGTGACCAGCCCGACAGTCACAAGCGAAGACAGGAGCTCCAACAGCGAAGCCATTGCGACTGGTGAGGGCTTTGATCTTCACCGATGGCTCTTTTTTGGGACCAACGCTTCGTGTGTGATGCGCAGTTTCCGGCCTATCAATACTTCGGCCGGTGATTTTCCTCCTGGAGCTGCTGGATTCGGTGTGGTTATGTAGGCGAACGGGAAGGCCTGGATGATGGTTTCCACGGTCCCCTCTCCACGTGCTTCTGGTTCGCTCCAACTTTGCCGTGAATATATCTGCCAGCAGCAGGCTGGGGGGTAATCATATGACCACGCCCTCTTTCTGCGGAAGGTATTTACCATTACATAGGGACTGCACATTCCAGGTGCAGCGCAACAATAAGACTTTTAGCTCACGCGTAGGTATACACACGTTTATTTCTGACCCACTTACATAGTCGCAATGGTGGCACTGGTCATTAGCAACTCCTTTCTGGCTCATATCGTCGACACGGCATCAGGTGGATCTAAAACATGCCTTTAGAATAGTGTACAAGATTCCTCCGCACCGATCAAAAGATCAACTTTCCACAGTCGAGACACTTTGCATTCGATCGTTTTACTCCTCATGCTTGTAAAAGCAATTAGCCCATAAAATGTATTTATTTGTTGTTTTATGTATTCGCTGGCCAGTGAAAACGCAAGACGCAGAGGTCAACTGCCTCAGGTCAAACTCTGCAACACGCCATTAACCCACCAACGTGCAGTTCACTTTTATCGTTGTAACATTAACATACTTGACCAATTGTACTTTTCTTTTTAGCCTCTATATATGATTGTAATGGTCTGAAGATGGATCACTGAAATTGGCCACCAAATGATCTTGTTGTTCTCGAAATTTAAATGGCATAAACAGTACGCCGGTACATTTTACCGTCGCATCGCTACCACACAACCACCATCAGTCGCGCGTTGGTTACGGATACTGTGAGTGTCGCCCGGTCCCCCACACAGACTCGAACCCCGACTTCCGGGTTGCAAAGCAGACGCCTTGTCCTTTCGGTCACGGGCACTGCACAGCGGTCCATGTATTCCGACGAACCCTCTTTCGACTCGAACAATTGCACTCACTTTCACTCGGCACGGTTTTGACTTTTGAACCTCTATTCATCCATTGTTTCGATTACCGAAGGCTTCTTTTGTTCAGCCTTCCAGAGAAGGATCTCTTCGGTGCCCCAAAGGATATGTACAACTTCACTGATTACCTATTGTACACTATTAGCTTTTGTTTTGTTGTTCTTCATCTTCCGCCTCTATCCCCACACACATCCGCTCAGTGAGTTACAATGCTGACGTTCGCTCCTGTCTCGCTTCATCCGTCCGCGTCTTTTTGTAACCCGTCGAATATAGTCCGTTCTGTCCGCCTTCATTTACCTTTTAATATCGGCGCTCGCTTATGCGCCCCGTTAGTATTTACTGGTCCTTCAATTTTTATTGATTATCATCGACGTACGACACGAGTGTAATTAACTCTTCGCCACACCTTAATTGTTGATCGATTGCCGCAAGCTGCACTACTGACCCTGCCACTTGACTATCTGCATTATGAATGAACAAGTCTGTCTGTTGCAAACGTAGTGTGTTTCCACCGTGGTACAAGTAACCTATGGCAATAATACGCGGAGTCGCGTGATGCACTGCACAAGATTCTCGGTCGCTCGAACTGACGTTTGTGTACATCACTGCAATGTTCGGTGCGTGGCGGATTAGTTAAACCGTGTGGTCTGTAGTCCACATTTTACTCATGAGTAGGAAGATTTTATCCATCATTTTTAAATGCTGTGGACATGGCATCTAGTGCGAGGCAGTCGACCTCGGAGGCTAGCCACTGTCATCTGCACTGGTAGGAACCTGCATGGCAGTGGAAGTTAGGTCATGCTATATCCCAGATAGTTTGCAAAATACGTAACTCAACCGCCGTCACTCATGGCTCAGTCGTTTAAGCTTCTGGCTAGTTAGCGTCAGCCTCTAGCGGTCATAGGTTCGACCGCCAGTAGGGGACCAAAGGATGCGCACCACTGACGAGCCCCAGTGGGCGAAACGCGCATCCGGTTCTTTTCCGGATAGCATTGTGCTATTTAGCTTGTGATCTGCTGAGACGAATACATTAAAAAAATTCACATTTTGCTGCTCCGATCGGGTGTGGCTACAAGTAACTTCACAGTACTCGTAGCCACTATGCGATTGGTTGTGGTCGCCTGGTAGCGAAGCGTTTGTGTTACTTACCGGTGTATTGCTGCTGGGCTTTTTATTCGCAGAGTTTACGGCGTTTCATCCTTATCCGTTGTTGATACCCAAGAGCAACCCTCACTCTTTAGATGGTATCTTGCTGGTTACTCGAATCCCTCCTCACTTTCATCGGGGATTGTTCTTCCACCACATTCTCAATCAAGTTTTTGAAAAATATCCCTCGTCATTAACCACAGATTGGCACTGTTGAAGCTGTCACTATTCCATGTTCTATTTGGTCATCTCGCACAAAACTAATGCACTCTGAGTTATAATGTGCTTTGTATTGCACTAGTCTTGTTTTTACCGAGCCCAGTTACAATTCACTAGGTGTCTTTTGTCACGTAACTTACTCTTACCGTTTCAGCATTTTTACCTTGTTTCTGCTCCACCAGCATTACTGCACCATCATTCAAATGTCAACTAGAAGTTGCTACATGTTTTGCACTTTGTTCCACCCAATTCATGGAGTCGATGATGATTTGACCAGTTTCTGTCAAAAATTCGAAGCAACGGGAAGCATAAGGTTTACAAAGTTTGCTGAACTCTGGCGCAGCGAAAAATTCTTCCACATTGTTTACGGTAGAAGAAATCAAGTTGGATTGTCGGATGTACTCGGTTGTCTGTTTTATCGCTTGGTCGATCTTATTCAGCCCAAGCCCGAAAGGAGTCACTCTATTCGAGTTTGCGCACTTTACCTACTTTATGCTCTACACGGAAAGCAATACATAAAAAACAATGTGAGTCTTTTTCTTTCGCTGTTTGTTTTGTACCTGCGCATTTGCAAAATAGCGGATAATAAACACTGCGTTTCAATGAATCCTAATTACCGGAACGCACATACTGGATCCCAACGTTGTCACACGGAAATGTCGTAGCTGCTATTCGTATTTCCCTACATGCTTTTCAACGAAACATGTTATCGGATTGCCACGTTTTAGGACTCACTACAACAACTCTGAACTATTCTATTGGACGCGTTTGTTAGAACTATTCTCTTTATGCTGGATGACAACCATTCGAGGTAACCAAACAACCCTCGTTATCCCCTTCCAACTATGATGAGAACCAGGTAGCCCCTCTGAGCCGCGATACAGAGACGTTGCTTTTTTACTCCCATGGCTACCTGCTACTCGCGTCAGTTGTCTTCCATAGTAGTAACCAGAACAGTAAAGGGGCTAGGTATATTAAGACGGAGACGTAGGGTAGTCAGCTTCCCATCAGCTTGATTCAACAGCGCCTATCCAAACCGTGTTTGTCTTAGTTGTCCTACCTTTATCAACAAGACTAGACGGGTTCTAACCGAAAAATCTTTGTTGTACCTACTCGTGATAGAAGCCATTGTATTCGAACTAATGTTCAGGCAATTTCGTGCCAACACACCTTGTATCTACTCTTAAATGGTGGAGTGTAAATACTTTCTTTCGTATGCTAATTATTGTATCTATGACTCATTATGCTGCTTTTCGGTCGCCACGCTGCGTCCATTCCGTTTACAGAATTAGATTCGCGAATACCATGGCTGATATTTGTTTTTTAAAAGAAAACTACACGTATAGATAAAACAGAGGAAAGGCTGCGTCAACGATTAAAACTTCTATCTGACATCACAATCACAAAATGAGGCATGCTGCTACATTCGGTTCCCGCTTCTGACTACGAGCTTTTCTAATCGACCCTTCTAATACTTATCATTTACTATCTGTGGGTTCGTATTCCTCTCTTCGCCATTTCTTAGATTGCTATTTTTGTGGCTACAAGATTCGCGCCTATGGGCTTCTCTTCACTTTTATGCATGGGTCATACCTTATCATCTACAGCAACAACGATTAGTGGCTGTGGGATCCAGACATCTGGCTTGTACTCCACTGGGCACCGGTTCGGGCCTGCCTAAGTGCGGACGGCTTCACAGTATTCCAAGTCTGCACGAAACTGGTGGTAGATACGTGGCAGCGGAACGTCAGTATGGCGTATCGGCGTCATACTGATGCCACTTCTTTTTTCCCTGGTTATGGCGCCCACCAGCTATGAACGCTAATCGATCACATCGCGATCACTTACCACTGAAGCGTCTGTGTCTACAACTATCGCCCGATTTGGAACATGAGCGTTGACTTCGATCACGCACCTTGGGATGCTCTTCGGCTGACGGCTGCGTCGCTGTGAGCGCATGGATACCAGCCAACTGGGGAAACCAAGTGTTCAGAATGCATATCAAACTGCGATGGTATGCGGGTTGAGTAAGTGCTTTCTGAACACAGTTTGGGGTCACCGGTCACATACCCGCCAGAAGTTATTAGCAGCATTCACGTCTTCATGTGGCAAATCTGATTGTAACCCTGGACATAGGGTCTCTGCTCAATCTTTAGAACTTCTGGATGCTTACGGATGCGTTCCGGCTGGAAGCGAACACATCGAAACTTACAAAGACCTTAGGGTGAAACTGCATACTAGCATGAAGAGGGACCGCGAAGCCTATTAGTATATCACCATGCATCAGAGATAGTAATGGCTGCTATCCTTGGTAACCGCCGTAATTGTTCCGTCTGATACGCGAAAGCGGCGACAGGAGATGGTGTTAGCGAGAATATATGCAGCAAAACTGGACAACTAACCCACGGCTTATCAAAACGCTTGAGGCGTTAAGTCGAACACTTCGAAAAGCAGTTTAATCATCTAGTTACAATCTTCCTTATCGGCCATCGAGGGACTTCATTCATCTTGACCAAGTCATCGCTTAGCCTCCCCTCTTATTCCATCCAAATCCCTGGCGCGCAAACAACGCACGATGAGGGAGTCGGTGTACTGGCATGCGCAACACGTGATCTAACCATCGAATCCTGGTATGTGCTACAATGGTGCTGAGCGGTTCACAAGCTCTTCCTGCTCCAAATTCACGACGCCGAACACCTTCATTGTTTACGCGGTGTTCTCACCAGACATGAGCTAAGCTTCGAAGGCAGCGATGGTCGAACGTAACTAGCCTCTTTACATCTGTCGACTTGATGGGCCAGGTTTCGGAACCGTACTGGAGGGTTAACCGGACGGCTGCATCGTAAACTCTGCCCTTTAGAGAGAGAGAGAGAGAGAGAGAGATGTCACGCCAGCACCGTAGGTGGTGGAGATTGGCTATACACCATACGGTTGCTACTAGGTTCGTGACCACATTTACAATCCCACGGGCACTGATATAGATGCCAAATTACACAACTTTCTGGAAGTTTTCTAACTGATCACCGCTAAGGGTCAGCACAGGAGTGGGTCCATGCCAATCTTGGAGCAAGACTTTGTATTTCGACGTTGCGAAGCATAGCCCGAAACGACTGACAGCCAATGTTAATTTATCCAGTGCAGTTTGGTACGTTTGTGAACTGTCACAAATGAGGACAATGTCGTCGGCTTACTCCAAGTCGGGAAATCGGTCACCTGGGAGCAGCTCCATACCTTCTAGGTCGTGCCCAGCGAACGCCGTTTCCATGACTTCTTCAATGGTAAAGTTAAAGAACAAAAGTGACAGCGGGCAACTTTGTTTTACACCGCTGGGGATGATATTGAAGGGTGGCGAAAGTTTACCATAAAACCTCACTGTGCCCGAATTCTGCGCGTTTGACATTAACATATTTCGCGGGAACACCTCTTATTAGACAGTCCCAAAGACTACATCGATCAACAGAATCGAAGGCCCTTTTGATGTCTAGGAACACGACAATGATGGGTTACCAATAGATATGACGCTGCGCCGACAATTGACTTAATGTGAGGATGTGGTCAATACAGCTTCGATTTCGACGAAACCCGGCCTGCTCCTCGCGCATCTGGCTATTACGGGTGCCAATTAGTCTGTGGAGGACGACGGAGGCAAATAACTTAGAGGCAGTTGTGATCAGACTAATTCCTCTATGATTACTGCATTCCAAACGGGAGCCTTCATTGAAAAGTAGAACTATTACGGAGCGCGTCCAGTCAGTTGGGATAGTCTCCTGCTCCCATATATTCACTAGTTGTAACTCGTCCAAAAGAGCAGGGCCTCCAAACTTGATGTGGGCTGGATGAAGTCCATCTACTCCGGCGGCTTTGTTCAATTTCAGTCGTCTGATCTCACGTTCGAGTACTGCGCGTGAGAGCGGATCCAGGGTAGTGTGGTCATTGGCCAATGGAGAAGCTGACAAAGTATTCAGCCCAACGCTCCATGCGTTTTGACAAACCGTGTATCGACTGCCCACTCTCGTTGCATATAGTATCGCTAACACCAGGTCTCTTGCCGTCCGTTTCTCGTATCAGACGGGATAAATTCCGATGGTTACTAAGGGTAGCGGCTGCTTCCATCTCTGATGCATGATGAGACCACCACGCTTTGCGGTCTCTTTAGGCTAGCACGCTGTTTCGCTCTGAGATTTTGCGAGTCTCATTGTATTCGCTTCCAGCCGCAACACATCGGCGAACATCCATAGGTTCTAGAGACTGCTTAGAGACCCAATGTCCAAGTTGGAGACTTGATTTGCCACATGAAAACATGCCTGCTTCTGATACCGTCTGTCGGATATGCGACCAGTGACCTTCAACAGGGTTCAGTGAGCGTTTACTCAACTCGAATGCCACCGTACTTTGATATACACTCGGAACATGTAGCTTCGCTATTTGACAAGTTTCTAAGCGCTCACAGCGTCGTTGCGGATGTTTGCCGAAACAAACCCGAAAGTCGGCACAAACTAGTGCGCAGTCAGAATCCGCGCTTGCAGTCCAAATCGAGCGACAGTTTTGGACACAGCCTCCTGTGGTAACTGATTGCGATGTGATCTGTTTGCTTTTACGGTTGGTGGGCTCCATGCCACCCTTTTGCGCATTCTGTGTCGGAACTTTTTGCTCGCGAGTAAGAGCCGAGCATCTTCACACAGGTGTATCAACCACTCACTGTTATCATTTTGAGAGCGTAAACCGTGCTGGTCGTCCAAATACAGCTCATCAGTGGCCAGCTTTCCGATTTGGGTGTTTTGATCACCAGCCAGTACCACAGTATCCGTGCTTTTTCTGTAACGGAGGAACGCGTTCAGTCGGAGATATAAATCATCTTTCACCGAATCAGTGCTGCAGTTTGTGCGTGCGTAGGCCGCAATGACAAACGAGCACCGTTTGTCCCCACGCGACTTCGAGGCCTGGAACGAGCCAGCCAATCTGACTGCACACCTCTGGCTATTCATTGGGATCCAGTTGATCAGGTCAGATTTAGCCTGGTGGCTAAGAGCAATGCCCACTGGCCAGCGGCAGCCAATCGAGGAAGACCGAATCGGAATCGCTCAACGGCGCCTAGTTTGCCCCACAAATAATATGTTGCCTTTCGATCAAATAGCTTCTGATCGCAACCCAGTCTTTGCTCCTGATTCTCGGTGATCGTTACACGACAACGACAAGTGCTTGTTTTGTTTGTTGATGACCTCGAATACCTCGCGGGGTTTTTGGCACATTGAGCAGTCGAGCAGGTGCCGCGCAACATAGCTAGCAAGTAATCTTGAATCACTGAAGCTAAGTCCTGCGTAATGTGTTCCGAAATTCTAACAGGCAACATCCTTTCTGTCTGGCTGATGTACTTGCTACCGCAAGTATAGTTAAACTGGTAAGCACAAGAGGCGGTGACATGAGTGTGATTAGATTCGTGTAGCATCTTTTTGATTCAGTGGAGCAACACAAGCTCAATTGCATAATAGCATCTCTTTATGGCGCAGTGTAAGCGGTGACAGAAACGTCTGTTTTGTTCCCTTTATAAGGCAGTGTGATGAATCCGACAACCTTCCTCCACCTTTGCTGAAAGTGTAGGTTACGTTGTAGACAACTGATTTGAGACCCTAAAGAAGTGCCTTCAGACTGTTGACTGTCGTGTCCATCTTAAAGAAGTGTTAGCGTACTTTAGGCATAAATCACTGAGGCATTGATTTTGATTCCATTGCCTTCATGCTTCTCACGAGTATCATCCTTCGATGACTTAATGGTCAACGTGAAGAACGAATCGCTGAAAGGCATGATGGCTTTCACTGTGGTCGTGGTTGGATCGACCACATATTTACTTTCGTCCAGTGTTAGATCTGAGACACAGACGACCGATCACGATGATTTTCCTTGACTTGAAAACCGCTTTTAACTCTGTTTATCGCACCAGTTTGTGGTACTGTCTATCCGTACTGAAGTCCCTACTGGGAGTTGTATCCCATTAAACACACTGGGCCTGTCCGGAAACCGGTCTCAGTATCAGTACCCCGCACACGTGCGGACTGTAATCACCACAAAGACATGAGGCTCTTGGATCCGTATATTCTGACTAGTGACTCGTTTCTTTACAGGCGTAATGAGTGTGGGCAATCGATCGACGCATCTTCATAAAAATCCGTTCCAAGCTGGGCGTGAGAAAGTAGAGCTGTGGGTGCACACAACACTATCCCTTCAATTTGAACTGCGGGTTGAGGGTTTGGTCACGCTGCTTGCGACCTGATTTTAAACACTTGTATCCCGTTCGTTTGTTGGGCTGTGTAAAGTTGTTTGACATTACTTTTTCGGTCGTCTGCGAGTTGCTACGTTTCTGGCCCTAATGCACGGGTAATACTGACTGGCCGCAATAATTTTGACTGCCCTTTTTATGACTTCCTTTCTGTCAATCGAACGAACATTCGGGAATGCAATCGTAGGACCAACTTTTCATAGGTGAACTGATAACGTCGGCGCTGTTCATGCTGGTGGTAATCATTGTTTTCAGGGACCGATATAGCTGGGCTCAATTTCGTCTTGCCAGATATTAGATCCCCTGGTGTGCAGTCGGTCGCTCTGTGGTGCATGCCGGACAAGCGTGCCGGCTATCTACTTTCCTTTAACGTCGGCCGGTGGCCAAGTTGTCTGCGCGTTTGGTTTGCAACCATAAGGCCACCGGTACGAATCCGCGTAGGGATGGGCGTCCTCGCGGTATACTCAGCCGGCGCGCGACTGGTGATGGTCGCGCGGCAGCGAAGCGCCGTTACGGCGTACAGCCGACACATTATTATTATTATTATTATTATTATTATTATTATTATTATTATTTACTTTCCTTTAACTGTTGACAGCTGTTGTACAGAACCGTTCGTGCGTGTTTCACATCGCGGAGCTGTAGGAGTTGACGGAATTCGTAGTTCGTGAAATGGGGCCCGTTATCCATTAGCATTTCATCGGGGAGCCCAGATCTAGCAAACAGATGTTTCAACGACCGTGTAACTGTTGGAGTGCTGTTATAACGGTGCGCCTGCAATCGATCGGTTGATTCACGCCTGCTGCTAAATCTGCGCCCTTACGCGTGCTCTGTTTGACGCCTTGGCAAACCCGACCGGAACGAAGACAGAAGACTCAGCAGACCAGAGTTGTATTAGGGCAGAGAACGCTCATATTTATATGTCGGTATCACTAGGCGGATTTGGCTGTAAACCCACGCTCCACACATGCTTGTCCGCTCCATCTGTCCAGTTCACCATCTTGCTCGAGCACTCCAGTCTTCATCCGCGTACCCGGTGCATGGCAACGCACGTGATGTCTGACGCGCGATTCCATCAGCCTCCGGTCAGGCCTTGGCAACACGCCTGCTGTCTGATGCTCGATTTCATCAGCTTTCGGCTGGGCCTTGATAACACACTCGCAGGGTCTTTCCCAAGCACGATTGGTGGCAAACGCGCGAGCATTGGCACTCAGCTTTCTCGCCCAGCTGTCAAGTGCTCACATAACCACAGGGGTGAATCTCAGGACACCAGAGCGTCCCTCTTGTGCCTTGGTGCAGAATCGAGCGGTCCCATGATATCGATCGCCACTTTCGAGCAGGGTTTCATTGGATAAACGATAAGCTGAAGGGGTGCATCCATCGGCTTCGGGCTCTTGTCGGCTTTATGACACACATCACAGAACCGGTTACACGCATGCACCATTTTAAACATCTTGGGCACCAACAATGCTCCTGCAGCAGATGCTTCGTTCGCACGATATCAGGATATCCTTCGTGCATGGATACTTTTTGGTGTTAGCTCATGTGAGGACTCGAATTGCGGTCCTGTCATATAGAAACCATCAATGGTTTCGATTTCATACCGTAAAACATAGAACGCGCGCAGTTCACCACTGTGTTTCATGTATCGAGGCCAGCCTTCAGAGAAGTTGTGGGGAACAGCTTGTACTTTTTGGTAGCTTAAGTTTTCTTCTTGCAGTTATGCCATAGTTACTGCGGAAAGATCGCCTAACTGAAAAATGAAAAGCACTATTTTTTCTTCGCCATCCTCTTACCTTCTTCATTGCCCAATGAAGGGTGAGATGAGCTACCTGCGATGTAATTTTTGGAGCTTGGGCGGAATATGATTTGAAAACCGTAATTCATTAAACGAGCTTACCAGCGTACGTATGCACATTGTATACATGTCAGCAAGTGATTAGGCCGAGGAATCAGCCCATACCTTGAGGACAACGGGAAATAATGCCTTCGGGTCACTACTTTTGTTGGAATTCAGCTACAGCAGTTTATTGTGCACTGTTTTTGTCAGTAACAGATGAAGAGGCTGTGGGACTGTCCAGTCGGAGGGATGAAGGGTAAGAAGTGGAGTTAGCACTGAATCAACAAAAGTTATGGTACAAATTTTCAAGGTCCACACTTGAATTTAACATCCAATGTGAGATTCCACAAAGTTGTTTCGGCATTTGCTAGATTTCTCGACAACTATTATTTACGTGTATACTCTGGATATGTGGATTGTTTAGACGGCGAAACTCTACCTTGATATTAGGTAGAAAGGGATTTCCCTGTAACGTGGTCTTTCTTTTTAAACGCTTTCTCATTGAGTCTACGCAAATGTTTTAGGCACGGAGATGCAAACCGATTCTCACGGATCAACATCATTTTTAGCTGACAGCAGGTATCCAAAAAGAAGTTGAGGTAGCTGGTCAATTGGTCACGATGCGTAGATACATCACTGTCAGGGAATATACTAGTCTATGGATACAATCATTTCTCGTAGTCGATATATCTTCTGAGGTGAACATTATCTTTTAAGTCTACAATCTTTACAGCGAATGACCACCATATGATTTATCTTGCTGTAGACGACTGGAATTAACTTGACCTTTGAGGTATCAGAGTTCCCAATCGTCATCCGATTGCACGCACAAACACAACTTCGCATTATTACCAAATATAAGAGCTAGTCTGATGGGGGAATTTACATTTTGCATCCCAAAGTCTGTGCGAAAAGTGGTGTCAAATCTGTTAAAATTACCAGAAAAAATGCAGAGAGAATAATCAATGAGGTCGATGGCAGTTGAAGTGAACTGCTCATAAACTTCCTCTGCTTTGGAAGTTGGGCAACTGGGGAAAAGTAGATATTAGCCAGCAAAATCGATTGGTAGCCGTTTAAGCATATTCGTTTACATTTCACAATTAAGTAGTTAATATGGAGCGAAGAAAAGCGTAACCTACGTTTTGTTGACGTCCACCACGAGGGATTGATTTAAGTGATAACACCGCCACGATTCCGGTATTACATGACCGGTCAACACCATGGCAAATGAATCCCTCAATCCCTACAACTATCGTCCACATTCTCATGGAGCCAGGTCTCTTGAAGTATAATTGCGCCTAGCTTCGAGTATTCACGACAGCAACTTGGGGTCTTAATCTCATCCACTTTGCCTACAGCTGATCGGATACATAAGCGAAGTATAATGGGTATACTCATGCTGCACAATGTTTTCTTTCGTAGAGACACTCTCTGTGCACTACGATGCTTATCGTAGAATTGTTCTACTTCTTGTAGGCTCGCTTCAGTTTGTTTTTTATGACAGCCTTGAAAAATGGGGCGTTCAGAGGAGTAGAAACACGAATTTTACAATATTGTGCGTGTAGCTTGACATGACCTTGAGTGTTGTATGGCTTGGTGAGGAAAAACAAAGCAGAGAGTTGGCGGAAGCCTGAGTGTAAGTAATTCCGCGGATGGAACATAAAGCATGGCCAAAATTGAAGACAACTGCAGATGCAAACAGACCGGAAACAAGACCAAAAATGTGCTTCTCAACTAAGACCTTCCGGAACAACTCGTTTACCAAGCTAGAAGAGACCAACTAACGTTTTGTGTTCTAGCTGCATTTGTAACCTTAATGGTCGCAGACATATGCAGTGTTTTTTGGTTACTGGTACCCCTATCCCCTTGCGTTCGACGAGCGCATGGACCCCTTGAACTCTTTGTGCCTCCTATTGTTTTGCCTATTCGCTCTTCGGATGGCATGTGGATTAGATTGTTTTTCGCCTTGTCAGGCATTTATCGTGTGTTCAATAAATTATCAGCCCTTCATTTTCCTAGCCTGATTTTGGTCGCCACTAGTCGGTCAGCTTTTACGTTTTATGCACGTCGCTATTTAACATTTTTGTCATCCGCTTATTGTAGGTTCGTATTCGTGTCTGTCCAGAAACATGGCCAGCGTTTTTACAGTTGAGCCAAGAAGCCAAGGACGATGGGCATCTGGACGTGTATTATGTCTTTAAACAGTTATGCGGGGCGAACGCATTTACCTTCTGCCTTAATCGACAAATCCTCTATCCCGGAGTTCCTCTTTTCAACAGCCCTCGTCTGATACCGGCCTCCTCGGATGGCTTGCGGTCAGCGGATCCCGTTTCGTTGTACATGCAATTTCTAAAACCACCTACAAGTAACCATCCGGACATAACAGAAGCTATAAATTGTCTGGAACAGGGTATCATTCAGTACACTGAAGCGAAATCCTCACTGAGCGCTGTGAAGCATACACAGGATGAATCCACTACTTCACTAAGTACCGAAGAAGGAGGCGATAAGAAGCAGGACGAATTCTTACCTGGCTTAAATTTTATAACTTATCCGGTTAGTTTTATTAGTACATCTTTTTGACTCGTCCTACGGGCTTAATGTGCCTTTGAAGCAATTTCATACATATCATTTCTGATTGCTGGATTTTGTGTGACGACAGGTATTCATTGTTCACCCAACTGTGACCATTCAGGTAATTTGGTGATGATCGGTTTTGTCCACTTCAACGGTTCAGCTATGATCCGAGTGTAGAAGAGCGGTTGATCTCTCCATCATGTTTTATTGAGCCATAAGGATAAAGGATGATAATAGGTGTGAGGAAATGCATCTAACTATGTGAGGACCGATATTAGTGCGGAATTACCTCAGTGGGGCGATTTGTTCGCAACACCGTACATGCTTTCGGTATACTATTCGATGAGACGTCGAAGAAACCAACGATAGCCATTGCACCTGTACTCAGCTACTTTCCCGTGGACAATAATCGCTGCTCTCGAACAACGGCGAGTGCGTCAGTAGGCAAGCCCCCCTCCCACCCCGCTCCAAAACCTGAAGATCCGGGCAAAACAAGCTAACGAAAAATTTACCCACACTCGAACCGGAGTAGTCGCAAGTCGAAACTGATCTGTATGTGTTATCGTGCAGCAGTCTTGTTAGATTCATGGCACCAGAATAGGTTTATTTATTTTTCTATAGTGTCGCTGAATCACAGTCTACTAATCAGTGGGGAAACCGAAAAGGTGAATTTTGCGAGGCGAAATGGCATAGACAAGAAAATTGAATAATTTCGAATCTATAGCCGATGTTTTTAATAAAGTTTCAAAAGTCACATCAGCATTAAGGAAGCTGGCTTGCTTAACAATGACAGTAGCAACAGAAAAATGCCAGGAAAGCGTAACTACATTCTTTGGATGAAAGTTTAGTATTAGGCGCATGACCTGTCCCCTGATGGCCGACCACGGCTCTCAGTGGCGTACTGAGCTCAGCGTCTGTCATTCAGTTCGTTAAGTTGTGATTGTTTTATCAAGTACCGCCGGACGACTTTCCCGAACCGTAAAATGACTTCAAGCCTCACGAATAGCAGGGACAACTGCTTTAAAATCGTGAAGAACAATGAATGGAGCATCACTACGGGATCCCGTTCTACAACAAGCTGCCGAATTCCATACTACTCAGTGGCCGAATGACAACCTAGCTGGAGAGTCACAAAGTTTGTTCTGAAAGAAAGACTGTCATTAGTCAATAGATGTTTACATCTGGCGGAAAGTGTTGCTATTCCCATGGAGGTTCGCTATCCTCATGGACACCTTATCATTGACAGAGTGAAAATGATTGTGCGCATTTACGTTTACTGGCCAACTATTCACTCGGAGCTGAAGCAGCTGGCGAAATGGTGCTCGAAATGTGAGCTTATCGGCAAGGTGTCCAGAAAACCGGAACTGTCTTCCTGGCCACTGGCAGCGAAAACTTGGAGGCGAGTGCACGCTGATTACTGGTCATGTGAATAAACAACCGTATCTTAAGGTTGTCGATTCCTTCAGCAAGTGACCTGAAGTGTTCTGCATGAAGCGTACAACAAGTAACATACTGAGAAAATATTCACCCAGCATGGAATAAGAGACTAGTTACCTACAATGGTCCTCAATTCGCCTGTTCACAATTTGCCGAATATTGTAAGCAGAACAGTATCACACACCTACGGTAGTCTTCGTCCCACCTTCAATCCAATGGGCAAGAGGGGCGCTTTGTTGACACGTTTAGACGGACGCTGCTGACGAGGTGGTGGGAAGGAACCAAACAGGAGATATTGTGTTTACTATACAGGTCAAATCCGACCCCCGGGTGCCAAATCAGCTGTCCCCAGTAGAAGCGCTTATGGGTGGAAAACTCCGTACTCCGAAGTATTTGCCGCTTCCGAAGCGTATCGCCCCACAAGTGAGGAACGCGAGAATAGAGAATTACTACGAGCAGAGACACAAAACGCAAGCACTTCTATTCTACCCAGGACAGTGTCTTAATCTTAGTCGGCCCTTTACTACCCAGCTTCTAATGGATTAGCCGAAAGAGCGGTCCAAACGGTCAAGAACGGGCTTCGAAAACAAGTGCTGGCTTCATTGCAAACAAGGTTAGATAAATTCCTTTTTGGTTATCGCTCCACACCGAACGAAACGACTGGTAAGAGCCCCGGTGAACTAATGTTTGGGCGGAGCTTAAGGACACAGACTTGCTGTTTCCCGATCATAGGCTACGTGTCGAGGCCAGACAAGATAAGTCTAAGGCCGAGTATGCCCGGAGGGCGGTCGATCGACAACTCTGTGAGGACGAACCGGTTTATATCAAATTACCTCACGAAACGAACTGGCAGTCTGGAGATCTGCGTAAGGTTGCGGGACAAAATACGGAAGTGGCTCTACCAGACGGCAGGGTAGTCATTCGGCACGATGACCATGTCCGTCTCCGCTCTGTCTCGGTTCGGCCAGGCGACACATCTACAAGCCCAGTCACTGAGTTGGAGGATGTGCAGAGTACCAACCAATCGGAGACTCCGCCATGTCACCGCTCAGGTCGAGTACGCCGACCAATTGATCGTTACCAGGCCAGCTGGGGTAGTTCCAACTAAAGGGAGGAGATATGTGGCATCTGCGCAGTGTGTCCGTCCAACGATAGCCAGTCACCGATTAAACTGTTACTATTGGTTGGATCCACCAGAGTCAGTGTGTGTGTCTGTTACCACTAGCTAACCATGGATTACGCTGTCTGAACTTGTGCGAAGCGTTGTCTTTGCGGCGACACAATACATTCGGTGTATTACTGAGACTGACGTGTTCTATTTTCGTGCGCTACGGGCGGAATACTGCGTTCTACTAAGTGTCGTGGTTCAGTACGGGCTGAGTGGTAACAGTTGCGAACATGGACTCAGAGGTATGCCACCAACTCGCCGTACGACCGACCAATCCGCTTTCTGAAGGCAGGCTGTTTCTCCATTGCGCTAGGCCTGGTGCTTTTCGCATGATCAGTTCTCATGAGTAACGTCTGATTGGTCACTTGTCTGTTCGTTTGGTGTTGAGCGTGTCGCTAACATGGACTCAGACGTAAGCCAGCCGCTCGCCGTACGGCTAATCAGTCCGCTTACCGAAAGCGTGCTGGGCGGGACCAGTCGAGCGTGCTTGGCTTTAGTTTGATTGGCATCCGGGCCATCGGTAGCGCATTGATTCCATTCGCCCACGGTCTCAGCCACCATCACAACTATTACCGCCTAGTACTCACCCATGCACATCGTCGTTGTGGGCACGCAATGCCTTGCAAGTAGCGGTGGTCAAAGTCTGGAAAGCGCCTCAGAGCGAAGGGGCTAAAACTCAATTCTATACATTAGGACGGCTCTCACCGTGGCCTCGTACTTACGGCCTCAGACCGATGGAAAGCCCTCACTCAAAGCACAGATGTCGTAAGTCCAAGATGGAGCTCCTAGCTTTTGCTACATGTGGTTATGGTTTTCGTGTAGGTTCGTCGCAGTTAGACACAGGCAGACAGCCAACACACATCCAGAAAAGCGCTAGACGGCCGTTTCGTCCTATTGGGACTCGTCAGTAGTGCGCACCCGCCGAGTGGTCTGCACGTTTGCTTTGCAACCATAAGGTCACCAGTTCGAATCCGCGTAGGGGTGGGCGTCCTCGCGGTATACTCAGCCCGCGCGCGACTGGTGGTGGTCGCGCGGCAGCGAAGCGCCGTTACGGCGTACAGCCGACACACACACACCCCCTCGCTCCTGATGCAGCTGCCAAGATAGATGAATTGGTCAACTACCTTCAGTTTCTCGTCGTCAGCGCTATCAAGTGACTGTTGGTCCAGCAACAGCACTGCATATTGAAAGTGTAATGCACATGACAAATGATGGGATAACTGTTTAGAGGTTATTAAGGGTCGACGGGCCACCCCAACATTGTTAAACATCATGGCGATGTGGTCTGCATAGTTAAGATCAACTAGCATTTCATCAGGCATCATCACAACGCGTGCGTCGTGAGGCTGTGCAAGGGAACACTCCATGATGGAGTCCGCGACGAAGTTGAACAAAAATAGGGAAATTGGACAAGCCTGACGAACGTCATTTGTCTGAAAGATACCAGATACATCACTATAGACCCTGACGCAGCCTGAGGTGTAAAGGGCACGGAGAGTGTTCACATATTTCATAGGAACACCTTTCCGCACAAGTATTTCGAACAGAATGGATCGACTAACTGAATCAAATGTATTTATTAAAACGAAGAACACAGCTATTGTCGGACTGCGGTACTTGTGACGTTGTTCTAATGTGTGCCGCAAAGTGAATACTCAGCCTATACAGCACCTTTCGAAACGGAAATTTTCCCGGTCTTTCTTCATCCGGACGAGAATTGAGGCCAATAGCATTGTCACGTTGATGCCCCTATGGCTATCACAACCGGTGCGACTGTTCTTTTATGTATTACAACTATGATAGATTCACTCCAGTTGGCTGAGATGGTCCCTTCTTTCCGAACCTGATCGAGCAGGTGGTTCAGTGCTATTCAAAGAACCTCACCTCCATTCTTAATTGTTGCGGGTCCAAGGGAATCTGAACCAGTAGCTCAAAAACTACTAAGGACTGTGGACGCGTTTCGGGCCTCAGCCTCCGATTGAGCCTCTAAACTAACCCACAATGGCTCAACCTGAGCCACAAAGTAGAACAAAATCCGGGAGCAGGGAGCAAGCTGAAATTCTCAGGAAAGTGCTCCCCAAACGAGCCAGCATGTACACCTTATTGGTAATAGGTGCGCCGATGTTGTCCTTGATCGTCCCACTGAGGCATAAATTCCTGCGAGCAATGGTGCGGATCAGATGGAAGAGTCAGAGGTAAATGTATACTGCTCCCTACTGGTCCACCAGGTTCCCTTGTCAGCACGCAGTCTACCCTCGACGTAGTGCCTAATAGTATACCGTCTGGTTACATAGCGCTCAGAGTCATCAGTGATATCTATCGAGATTCCAACAGGTTCATCGACTTTTTGGAAATCCGGTGACCGATGTGGTCA